AAAGTAACATAATAGTCATGAGAATTCCCAAACCAAACTTAGTTCGAGGAATAAATAATACTTATTCAATTTCAAAATTCAATCGTCATAATGCCCTTGTAAGACTCCTTGTGAACATCAAACTTAATAGAAATATCATTTGATCTCACCTCACATTCATAATGAATCTGAATTGAGTAGAACAATCCTTAATAAATTTTTCTGATTTTTTTATAATATGCGTTTCAAATTAAGCATTAAAATCTTTTATTAAATATATGAAATGATTATTATATTGATCAAATTTATTGACTTATTTAACCAGAGAAATTAATTTCGTTTACTTTTGCTTTATTTTTATCATTATTAACAATTCAATATATGCAAAAGTATTATAAACTAATAGCGAAATTTTGAAAATATGTTAAAATTATAGAATATGAAGTATTTCAATCGAATGTACAGATCATTCATTTATTAAATATTTCATGGATATTTTTTGAATATAAATTTTTCAAAATGGCTAATAGCTAAATGATAAATTAAGAAAAAAATTGTAGATCAGAATAATTTTGAATAATCAAATCTGAAAAATTAATAATTGATAGTGGAAATTATTTCTTCTCTTGTTTCTAATATTTAGGAGCAATTTGTGCTCTTATTCTATTTTGACCTTGATATTTATACTATTTATTAATATATGAAGATATTTCATACGGAATATTAAAATTAATTTGAAATATAAACTCAAAAGTTTTTTAATATTATATAAGTAAAAGAGGAAATCAAGATAGTATTATTGTCAGTTATTACAAAGAATAACCGAAAAGAAAAATACTAAAGTATAGAGAAATTTAAATCGATAGGCTAAACGAGTTCGAGATGTTAACAATAAATTATAGATACATAATTTGAATTCGAGAAAAATAAAAAGAATATTCTAAATTCGTATTAAACTTAAGCAGTAATTGAAAGTAGATTAATAAAGATATAGGATAGAAAATGAACATTTAGGATAGTTAAAATCTTGATTAATTATTTTTGTTTAATGTTTCAAAGCATAAAATAAGCTTAGGGGCTTAAATTACAACTATTTAAAATACTATATTAATGGAAATGGAAAAGAATAATAAAAAGAAGGTTAAGTAAAGCAATTAATGAATTCTAATAATTTAAAATTACAATTATTTTATTTGAATTCAAATTTGAAATATTTTAATTGAATTCTCAAGAAAAAACCAGATGATGTATTTCAAAGTAAAGCATCTTTTTAATAATTAAGTTGATTAATAAAGAATTACCCTGTAATCTGCTTCTAAGCGAGAATCAATCAAGAGAAAAATGGATGCTTAATTATAGTAAAGCAAGGAACTTCTAAACAAATCCTTAAATGTAGAATATACCATACCCATAATAAAAATCCCTTGCAATGTTTATTAATATTCTCGCAAGTGACTTTTCACACTACATCATATCAACTTTATCATATTCAATTATAAAATTATATTATAAAATCAAATTTTAAGCTAATTTTGCTTTAAAATAAAAGAAACTCATCTTATTCAAAAAATATAAACAAAAGAAATTATATCTATGAATCTAAAATATACCTTCTATAAAACAAAACAGTTATTAAATAATTCTTCCATAGTTTGAAAAGATTTTAATAAGTATTACTTTTATGTAAGACACACAGTATTGATAAATATCACTATAGTAATATAATAAAAATGCTGAGTCTGAGTAAAACAAGGATTGGTCCTCAAATCATATGCTTATACAGCTGGTGAAAAATTATAAGTTATTAAACTGAACCCGACACACTGAACCCAGAAAATGAAATGTAAGTGAGTCAAAAACAACCTTTATAACTGGTAAAAACCAATCAACCACATATTATTCGCTTTTTAGATATAAAGGAAACTGTTAGGGAACTCTCCAGAATATAATTCTATAAAAAAACTTGGGGAGGGTAATCGTCAAAGAAGTCTGGCGATAATTTGCTTCAAATAAAAGTGCCATTTTTTACGCTATATTTTTTTAAACCAAAGCCAAAAATTTAACCAGGAAAGTGTTTAACTTTAAATATCGGTATTTAAGAATACCCTACACTAAAATCTTCATAAAGAATAATCTTAGGGGAATTAAAATACATACAATTTGATATTTCCTCATGCAATATAGCAAAGTATTCAAACAAAAATATTATAATTCAAGAATAGGTAATTTTCTAGCCATAAATTATTGTAGCAAATAATTGTGAAATACTTTTTATTTGGCTTTCTGATCATATTTTCATTAAGATTAAATGGAGTAGCAAGAGCCATAAAATATATTGTTGCAAGAAAATGCACTATTTAAGAAAAATGACCAACAATAGGTTTAGAGACCAGCTTGTTTGTATAATTATGCCAGTAAACCTAAGAAAGGATAAAGTGATTAAACAATATGAATAACTTTATTCAAAGTTCACCCAAAGTTAGGATGATCAATGAAAATCTTGAAAAGAGGTAGCTTCTACCGAACTAAGAGGCAGAAAAATAAGATACAAAATATCGAACCCTTTACGGTTCTAAATTCGCTTAAAAGAGATAGGGGAATATTTAAATACTTTAAAGAAGAAATAAAATAATTGAATTTCTTACTGTATGTATTAAACTTGCCTTCAATGACTCGGAAAACCCAAAATTAAGCTCCCATCTAAATTAAAACTTCCAAATTTTAATCATTGTCTATCATAAAAAATACAAGTTTTAAAAGGAAATGTCAAAGAAAAAGCAATTTCTAGTGATGAAACTTTAGATACGTTCCTAAAATAAGCAAAATCTATCCAAGAGATACCCAACTTACTTCAATAGGACTTACCTAGGTATTCCTTCATAGAATATGTTTCAGCGAATTCACTCTTTAAGTTAGCGGAACTTCAATTTTGCTTTTCAATTGCACAATTATAATAAGAGCTATTTAAAATACAAAATAGCTTGTTGTTTTATCTGTAAAAAAAATTAAATTAATGCGAATTGATTATAAGCAACATTAATAACACAACTAAGGAGTAAAATCTTTGAGTGTGCTAAATTGACATTTCAAGTGCTTCTAAACAATTAACAGAAAGAAACTCCTTGAAATCTTGAATTTTAATTTAGATTTTTTAAAGCGATGAATTGACTTTCTGAAGGCACCTCATTTGAACTGATATTTTAAAAGTCCACTACTTAAAAAAAGAAAAACTATGGCTAGAGAATTGATTTTGGTATATTTTTCCTTTATTTGTTTATATTTATTTGAATAGGTTTTGAGGCGAATTTAAAAGTCAGTTTCAAAAAAGATTTAAGTTAAAGCAAATGCAAGTGATTTAATTTTCTTTGCTAAAACTATAGAAGTTAAAAGAAAGCTTTTCATTTGTTAGGAGATATAGTTAATAAATGGATGCTCGAGTAAACAAAAAGTAGCTAGGTATATTTAATTAAGGATCATTTCCAAAGGGAAATAATTCCCTTCCTGAATATTTGGTTATTAAATAGAATGTTGACCGATTTCAATTCAGTGTAAATAAATTAGTAATAAATTTATACTGATAGAGAAGGATCAACTTTTATTTGTAAATCTAAATTTGATTCATTCAAAAGCCAAGGGGAATGGATACAAATAATTGATAAGTCTTCGCAAATCAACGTCAAATAAGGTTACTGATATTTAGAAGACTTTAGGTATGAGTGGAAAATTAACAGTTAAAAGACAAAACTAGAGATACTATAGAAATTTTAAGATTAACTAAATGACGGTAAAGAAAATAGATTTAAGCATGTCATTATGATGAATATAGTATAAATTGTATACCTAAATCCTAAACAACCTTAAGACATAAATTATCCATTCTTGAATTTGACTAGTATTTTTATTAGATCATCATTTTTATCAGTTTCACCCAGATCTTTTATAATTCCTTGATAAGCTCAACCTTTTCATTACTTAAGAAATACTCAAATTTGATTTCCTCAATTTAGAACCATAACACTTTTAAATAACACCTAATCAAATTTTTATACCTACTATTGCCAATATAACTTTAATAAACATATAAATTTAATAAAAAGTCAAACTTTTAGTAATTCCATCTTATTTTAGTCCTTTTTAGCTTTTGTTGTTATGTCTGTAAAAATGGCGACTTTATTAGGTTCTCATTTTTCACTGATCAAAAAGGAATGCTCCGCTAAAATGAGTTTTAAATCTCTATTTCATCTTGTATTTAATATTTTAATATTTCTATTTATTTTTCAATCACTTTCATTTTTATAATAATTATGTTCTACCTCATTTAAAATTGGTTAAATAAAATAATGTCTTGGTTAAGGACTATCCTGTTAATAAGTATTCAAAATAATTCCTTAATCCATCAGAATTTTCAAATTATGGATGCTCAACTCTGAGATTATTAGATATTATCTATATAACTTCTCATCCTAAATTCCTTCTTTATGATCGCTTATTATTATTCTAATTAAATTAAGTCATCTGCATGCACCTCATCCAAAATTATAATTAAAGGATAAACTAATACAATGATTTATAAAATTAATTACTTTAAAGCATAATGTATTTAAGATCAAAATTTATAGATAAATATTACAAATTACAATATTTAATAAAGAACTAGGCACTATAAATATTTATAACTTATTAGCAAGATTCTATATGAATCTTCGAAAAGGTGTTTCACTTTATAATTAATTTTTATATTTTTAAGTTGATAGCAAAATTCTGCTATTTGATTAATATTTATTATATTAAGTAATGTTATTTTTTTTCTTGGGATTATTTTCAATTACTTAAGCAACTGAAGAATTATATGATTATCCTATTATTGGAATTGATTTAGGAACAACTTACTCAAGTGTTTGCATTTTTAGAGATGATAAAGTTGAAATTATTCCAAATGAATATGGATTTAAATCAACCCCTACGGTTGTTGCTTTTAATGGCACTTTCTTAATTGGAGAAGAAGCTAAAGAATAGGGAATTATTAACCCATAGAATACATTTTATGATATCAAAAGATTAACTGGAAGAACGTAAGCTATGAATTAATTATAGATATCTTGATCCAAATGTAAACAGGGTTAAGAAAGGTTTACCCTTTACTATAATGCAAGAAAATGATAAAATTTGTATTAAAGTATCTTAGCCTAGAAATAAGAGTAATAAGATATTTAACATTGATTATATTCAAGCAAAGGTTTTAACAAAATTGAAGAATATAGCTAGTTCTTATTTAGGAGTTCCAGTAAAAAATGCCGTCATATCAATTCCTATTGGATTTAATGATATTTAAAAATAAGCCACTATAGACATTGCAGAAATTGCAGGCTTAAAAGTTGTTAGACTTATTAGTGAGCCAAATGCTGCTGTAATTGCTTATGGTAGGGACTATGTAACAGAAAAAACGAACATTTTTGTTTTTGATTTTGGGGGTGGCACTTTAGATATTGCAGCAACGATAGTAACAAAACAAAAATTTGAAGAAATTGATAATTCATCAGAAATGAATTTAGGAGGAGAAGATTTTGATTTCAATGTTGTCAAATATCTCGTCGATTAAATATACAATTCTACTGGAATGAACTTAACTGATCATAAAAAAGCAAATTAAGCATTAAAAATAGAGGCTTAAAAAGCTAAAGAAACTCTTTCTTCATAGGAAATAGCTCATATAAGAATATCAAATTTGATTGAAGGATATGATTTTTAATATAATCTTACAAGGGAAAAATTTGAAGAGGTGAATCAAGACCTTTTTGATAGGGTTATTTCTACAATAAATTCAACATTTATAGTCTCTGAAACGTAAATAGAAGATATAGATGAAGTTATTCTAGTAGGAGGAAGTAGTAGAATTCCAAAAGTCTAAGAAATTGTTGAGAAAAGATTCGTTCACAGCAAGATCATTAAAGATAGAATATAAGATGAATTGGTTTGTATTGGAGCTGCTATTTTAGCAAATTCACTCACTAAATAATTAGAAAAACAATATCGGTTTGTAGAAATCAAGAGGACCGCAATAAGCTATGGTGTTGAAACCGATAAAGAGGATATGAACATAATTATACCTAGATTGTCTAGATATCCATTAGTTTTGTCAAGATTTTACACTACTATCGAAGATTATTAAACTGGAATCTCAATTAATATTTTTTAGGGAGAAAGTGAGTTTACAGAATATAATGAAAAAATTGGAAATTTTAAATTAAGTGGTATTCAAAAAGCCACAAAAGGGGTACCTGAAATTGAAATAACTTTTGCACTAAATTAGAATGGAATGCTTACAGCTACTGCCTTTGATTTAAATACAAAAAGCTCAAGCTAATTAGCCATTCAAATAAAAAATAAGAAGAGACTTACATAAGAAGATATTGATAACCTTAGGAAAGAGAATGAGTAAGAAGAAAAATTAGATAGAGAGAAGATTTAAACAATAAGTAAGTTAAAAAAATATCATATGTAATTTCTAAATGATATAAAAGTAACATTTAATGAATATACTTTAGAAATCCAAATATAAATATGCATTAGGTGAGTCGCAATTATACGAAATAAAAGAAATTCTCAATACTAGTTCTAAATGGCTAGAAGATAATAGATATAAGCTTTAAACAACAACTCAAGACTTTTAAAATGAACTGCAAAATCTTAAGAAGTAAGATTTAAAAATTATTTAGTTCATTGGATAAAATCCTGAATAGATAATAACTAAGAGACTCAAACCAAGACTTATGATATGAGAATATTAATAAAAGTTAAATTAATATTTTAAAGTTGAATGATCTATAAATAAGATGTTTAAACTTTTCAAACTTAATTACTCGTTCCCATTTTACTTACGAGTTGATTGTTAATCATACGGATATAATATTAGGGTTACTATAATGATATTACTTTCATTTAAATTTTTTAATAAATATCATCAAAATTTATTTTAAGAAAGCAGATAATTTAATAGTTTAGTTTCAGCAACATTCAAAAGAAGTACATCAGCCTGCCTGTAGGGTTAATAGGGAAAAATTGGTTATCCCTATGGAACTCTCTGATAAAAAAGGATAATTATTAAAATGAAAGCTCAAAAAATTATTTAAATACAAGACCTGAATAAACATATTTATAAATTGATAGCTAAAGAAATAATTACACATCAGTTTTAATTAAAAAAATCGTGTTTTAGTAATTCTTTGGCTTCTGGTCTTTGAGATGGATCATAGGCTAGACATTGCTTTAGTAAATCAAAGAGTTAATTTTATTTTAACAGACTTAAGTAGTTACAATTCTGCCTGATGATTGAATTCAATTACAATTACTATTACTTTTAGATGATTCTAGTTGATTAAATTGTAAAATTACTTGCTTAAATCTCTTCCTTTGACTGCAAATAAGCCATATTTGATTTAGGGTTTTCCTTATCTCATAATTTTGCCTTTATAGGAGAGCCAATTAGGAACACCATGCAAAATATCAAGTATTATTGCCCCTTTATTTGTTTATAAAAATACCATAACTCCAAACATCTATTTTTGGAGTCCCATGCATTTTTGTAAGGGCTTCTATTTAAGTATTGTATTGATTAGAATATTTAGTCCAATTATGCATGATGTCAAGGGCCTCAGGAGCCATGTATTCTGGAGTAATCATCCCAAATTGATCATAGTCTTAATTTGAAAATGCAGATCCAAAATCTATTATTTTTGGTATATTGTTTTCAACTAATATATTGTCTGGTTTTAAATCGAAATGAGTGACATGCTTTTCATTAATACAGGAGATTCCATTTAGAATTCCATACATAAGTTCAATCAGTTTGTATGGATGCTCATACATATCCAACAATTCAACAGTCTCGCTTATCTAAAATTATGATTAATTATACTGCATAAACTCTTTCTCCTTTATAGAACTCCCCTTTCATCGTATAGAGAACTTTGCTCAATGGTTTCCCTCCTAACTCCTAAATAATCCAAGTATCTTTGTTTGAATGTTCCACCCCCATTATCTAAACAATGTTATCTGATTTTATGTAACTGAATTTTGCCTCTTTGCTTTATTGTGGTTTGGCAATTTGTTTCAATGCTACTTTCTGATTGCCTGTTGATGCCAACCATACTAATGCAAATCCTCCCCTAAATAGAGTTATTTAACTAATATACCTTCCCAAGAGTTCGAGCTTGTCAAATCCTATTAATTACCTATCTCCGTAGGTTCCCTTCTCCTCCTCAGTAAGTCCATAATCTTTATGCATTTTAAGAGATGGCAATCTGTTAGGTTTGAGTGTGAAGCTGCTATGCTTTTATAATTTTTAGGCATTATTTCCTGGAGATTAATTATATTCCTTTTACACAAAGTCTATAATCATTCGTTGTTGCAACAGTGAATCTAATCCTACTATATTGTTTAATTTAAATATTAGATATAAGCGATGTTATAATGGAGAGTATGATATAATTAAATACTGTTAGTTGAGATGGGAGTTCTTCTTGATTTCTAGGAGAGCTGTCTCTAGTAATGAATGGGCATCATATTAATTAATTATATTTATACTCTTAACAAATATTTGATAATATATAATTATTTATATAATATTTGAAATGTAAGAGTGGCCTAAGAAATTGTTTCTTGCTATTGCATTCATCTCTTGTTTCACCTGTTATGCAAGACCAGACTATAATCTCCCACTATTTGCCTTTGCTTATTTGCTTTGGGATATAGACAGACCTGTAAGTGAATCATTCATGTGAATTAGGTATCACAAAAGATTAGATTAATTTACCTATTTGTTTATTCATGGATTATTGATTTCGTTTGGCTTGTTTATTGGGGTCCATTTTGGAATTCATCTACTTTCAGTCACAATTGGGCTGATGGAATTTAAACATTTGTGTTAGTGTTGTCCGTTATCAACTTTATCTTGAAAGTAGAAATTGAATTAATAATGTGTAGTTGGGTACGATTGTAGTGTGCATTTTGGCAGAGAAAGAATGCAAAGATGCATTACATCCTGAAAATGCAATGGGACATGCGAAGAACATCTTTAATAGTGATGGTTAGCATTAATGAATTACTTAAATTTTTTAAAAAAAAATTAATATCTATTTTAAATTAATGTCTTAATCAGTGCTTTGGGAAGTAGTTAAGGGCAACAATGCTTTTTTGGTCAAGAGAAATGGATTGACACTCTCAACCGATCCATTCAATAACACTGGAGTTTAAACATATAGCAGCACAGGTATAGAGGCATATTAATATAAAAAAGGATTTATTACAAAAAATGCTATTGGAGTAGTACCAACATAAGCAAAGGCTAATTAAATCAACAATGTGAATTTGGTTGCAAGAAAGAGCACAAAATTCTAATAAGCTGACAGAAAGACCAAGAATACTCAATCAGTTTATGCTTCAACTTTGAGTGTTAAACACGGAATTCACACAGCCTCAAGAGTATCATGTTTTATCAACCCTAGGTAATTAGAAAGAGATTTGGTACAAGAAGACTTGGATTATAGAAGGCAGCTCTTAGAAAATTGGTGAAGTTGAACAGAGCAAATGCAGTAAGAAGAAGAAACGAAATCGCTGCCACTAAAGCATAAAAGAAATGATTTGCATATTATCATACGATGTACAATAAATATATATAAATATTATTATTTTATAAATGGAAATTATTCATTTCACACAAATCTAGCATTTCTAAATACTAAATGAAATTACAATTGAAATATTCATAACAAACACTAAATGAAAGAAAAGTATTGATAAAAATCACAAATTAAGGAGATCTAATTATTATTTGATTAAATAAGGAAAACTTTGATCCTAAGTCTAATTTGATATTTGTAAAACAGCAAAATCATCTTTTGAATAATTCAAATCTAATGATGGATTTGGGTAATATAACAAAATTAAAAAAATAGTTGATGTTGTTTAATTTAATGAAATGAATTATTTAATATTTTATGTAAATGTGTACTATACTTTAGAATAATCATTATTTTTTGGTTTCTTCTTGGTGTTCTCTGGCTTATTTCTTTTCAAGAGCTGTCAAATACAAACCGTTATCATCTGGGAGTGAAATTAAGGACTTCTTTCCTTTGCCGATTGTGAAGATATTGTTGATTCTTGTAGAGAAATGTTTGCCATTTGAATCCTAAGATATATCTTTATTAATTCATACTTTAACATGGACGATGTCAAATGATCCAAGATGTCTTTCTCTGTGTTGGATGAGACCCACTCTTCCAATGTTATTACCTCCGATAATGTAACATAAATTTCCTAATTGATATTATAGATACAGATATTACCTGGTTCTTCCTTGAGGAAATCGACAATCTTTCCAGTTTCCAATTCGATTTTTAATGTGTCATTGACATGAATTTCAGGATTTGGGTATCTGATGGTTCTGCCATCGTTGGTAACAATATAAGGAACATTGTTTGGTCCAACCTTCTTTTGGGTTACTTTGACTAACTTGAATTTGGCCTCATCTGGTTTGATTGATTTTAATATGAATTTTCCTTGGACATCATATAAAACTCTGTAACTTTCTCTTGTCTTGTCGATTGTGATGACGTCTGAGTCATTAATTATATAAAAGTACCTTATAAGCCAACTGGATATCCAAAGTCGGATCTCACTTTTCCGTCAACTTTAATATTACCATCCTTATCAGCGAGAATCATTTAGACTTCTCTTGCATACAAAGCATATTTCAATTTATGTTGCAATATAACAGATAATGGGATTGATTCTCTCAATTTATGGGGTCCTTATGATGGTCTTGTTGTCCAATTTCCTCCTAATTTTGAGAGCATCCAACTCTTGGGTGCTGTGATTCTTTTCATATGTTTCTTGGGTCCTCGAGCCTATAGATAATAGTAATCACTATTCTTACCATGATTGTTTAAAGAAAAAATTAAAATCTTTTTAATTTAATTCAAAATGTTAATATTCATAACATTCATAACATTAATAAATGCAGAAACATGTTAATGTAATACAGGTATATGTAATGCATAAACCTGTTACTGTCCTTATCCTTTTGCAGGTGAACATTGCGATTACATATTGAAACTCGGATATGGCATGAACTACACTGCAGAATTCGATCACTATATTGGCCATAATAGAATCAAAGAGGATAATGATTGCAAATCTGATTGCAACAAATAAGGGCTGTGTCTTTAATCTTAATGCTATTGCAAATCCCCTTATGGAGGATAATATTGCTAATTTAAATTGATATTTGTTGATGAGAGTGAAAATAATTCTACGCAAATATAAACTCTGGATAATTTATTTAATATTCACATGGATCTTTAAACTTCCAAGAACATTATGACGTAGATAAAGCAATTCGATAAGAGGGAAATGTACAAGAAATGCCCAGTTCCTTGTAGGAATGGGGGCTATTGTGTATTTGGTCAATGTATGTGTAAATCTCCTTATGTGGGAGATTACTGTCAATTTCAGATAGAATTCGAATAAGGAATGCCTGTATAGTTTATAATTTAATGATAGCATTATCAAGTTTACATGTTGATGATATTCTCATGTTTTGTAGGCATAGCAATAACAGTGATAATATTTATGATCTTGAAGTTTATCGAAGATGAGAAGAAGAAATACGAATTAATAAGTGGAGAAAACAAAGATCAATGGTAAAAAAAATGATGAAATTTAATAATATTGTAATATAAATGCAATTCTAATAATTAATGCCTGTGGGCTACGTGAAACAACCTGCTCTTAAAACATTTGTATTAGCCAAGATAAAGAAAGAGAATACAGAGAAATCCATTAAACTTTATAAGCAAAAGTATCACCAATACTTCTATCAGCACGACTATCTCAAATTGATTAAGCAAGGCTAAGAGAAGGATCATGTGCTGATGCTCTTTTGTTTTCCAGAGGTATTGCACTCAAGACTATCCATAGGACTTAGAGAAGATGAAGGGGGACTTTGAAATTGAGGAATTTCTTGAAATTTAATTGCCAAGTGTTGCACCTATACATAAAGAGTAGAAATCACTATATGATGGATATTGGAATATCCTACATCCAAATTATGAGTATCCTCATAGGCAAAACAAGGATGCACCCCTGAAAATGCAATAGATTTTAGATACAAAAACTACAAGGAATAAATGCATACTTTATAATGATGAAAATACTATAGTGATTGAAGCAGAAGATGAAACACACATCAACAATGTTAGACATTGTGTCATGGTGGCAATGGAGAAGTTAGCAGAACATAACTTAAACGAAAATCATCAAAGGCACTTTCTGGAGAGTTAGTATTATGCTAGAGAAATGACTTTGGTAACATACTTTGAGCCTTGTATAATGTGTGCAATGGCGTTGATTCATTCAAGAATTAATGAGGTTTATTACTATCAGAAGAGAGTGACCGATGGAGGACTCAATGATCAATTATAAGTAAATAATATGAAATAACTAAATCACAAATATTTAGTTTTTTATCAAAATTGATTATATCGATTCTATTGATTTCATTTATTTAATATAATAACTAATCACATTATTAAGATATAATAATTTATTTAATTATAAATTCTATATGTTGGCGAGAGTTGGTATTACAAATATATTAGTTTACTCATAATCTTTACTTCCCTTAGGCTTACTTTAATAGATGCAACAATGTTTCTTGCCGACGACTCTTTCGTTTCTTTGACTATCTCTAGAATATCATCCGTTTCTCCTGGAACTACGAAAAGGATTAACAACATCATACTTTAGCCACCACTTATGAGATGTTGTTATGACTATGATAATTGCTGAATTCACAAACTCTCTCGAATTGCTAAAAGATATCTATGTATTATCCCATAATCTTATCCTAATCTTCTTCGTCATCTTCAGAACTATCATCTAACTTTAATTTTACTGATTTTCTTCTCATTACTTAGTTTATTTATAATGAGGGTACTTACAATACCTATTAATATCCTTGCTCATTCACTACACATAAGGACTCATTCCCTCCTCCTCTCTTCAAAACCTTCTCATATACAGGCACTTCCTCTTCAGGCAACTCTGCCGAAGATCCATAATTTATAGACAACTTTGGATTATTCTTCAGTCCTGCTGGATTTAGATATTAGTTATTCTGCGGCTAACAAAACCGAAAAGTCCTAGGAGATGATTCATCAATTGAGAGTTGAATCCTTTAGGATAAAGACGATTTTCCTTGTGTGTTCATCTGCTAGGTCTGAAGATTAGTTGGAATCTGATTGAAAGTGAATTGATTTCCAAAATGAATGCTATGTTGCTATTATAATTCCCTTATCTCTTCTATCTAAACAAGATCTTCATTTTTCATCATATAATTGAGCACACTTTCCAGAACAATGAAATGATGTTTCAATGCATACATCTTCCTTGTGTGATTATGTCTAATGTATCGAGGAGTTCTATCAACAGGAGTGAACTTTCTGTAATTGTATAAAGTCTTAATCCTATTGGGTATGCCAAATAAAAATGGACAGGTGTTTGTAAAATGAGAATCGCTTTAGCATGTATTACATTTAATTTAAATAGCCTTTAAATTTAGATTTTATGTTATGTCATCTGTTATCTATTAGAGTATCTCCTAAAAGGGATAGATTTCAATATATATACATAATCGGAAGGGTGATCCTTGAAGACAGTGTGCAATTAATCTCTTGAGATCTGGAGAACTTTCGTTGTCTTAGAGGCTACGGCATCAAAAGAGTAGGATCTTTTGGAGAAGAAATCCAATTGCCCAATAAAGCACGGATTACTTATTTTCTATAACAATCTGGGCTAATCATTGAGAGTTAGTACTAGTTTGATCTCTCCTGTTACGAGGATAAATAATTAAGATGATTTATTATTCCTTCTGAATAGATAATCGTCAGATTGAATGTATTTCTCTTCCAGATACATACATAGTTTATTCAACAAAGGTTAACTGAAATTCTTAAAAAAGGATAACTAATTTAATATTTTAGCATTGACATCCACAATCATCTGATCTTTCAAACTTTTAGGTATCAAATCTGCGAATTATATTACTTTTTGAGAGGGTTTGCTCCATAAATACTCAAAATATCTTCTAAACTTAATTTAAAGATCATCAGACACATTCTAACTTCTTAGGTATCTATTCAATTGATTCATGTTATTCTTTAATTGAACTGATTGTTTTGAGAAGTCTTAGAATATGCCTCCAATATTATTTACAGTGTATGCAAATGTTGCAGATGAAATCATAGTCATGAAGATTACAAAGATCCTTTCAGTCAAATTCACAGGAGTTATATCTCCGTATCCAATTGTTGTCATTGTAACAATACTCCAATAAAATGAGACTACGTATCTATCCAACCAAGATTCATTCTACAACTAGGCCACCTTCAACCAAGTCTTGCCTTCATGATGACCCCATTCACCCCATTGTCCTATTATATGCCAAATACAGGCTGAAAAGTGAGCTACTAGAATCATAAACGATCTAGTGCATATTTATATGCATACATCATTTTAAATAAATCGAAGAGTGCTGTTTGTCTGCTTGACAATTCTAAACGATTAAAAAGAGACGAGAATAAACTAGACAACTAGAATACTTTCAAAACTATCACAAAATCAAAGTATCTAAAGTCAAATTGCTGGCCTATGAAGAATGGAACAACCAAAAACAAATCAATTAAAAATCCTATCTAATATTAATATCAGTTGACCTTATATGCAATAAAATTTGACAATCTTGGTTCTGTTAGTAATCAGTATTCCTTTGTTATAGATGCAAGTGTTGAATTTTAGGACGATTTCCAAGAGAAATGAGTAGACAGGCAATTATTCAAAAAAGAACTCCTTGCTTTTTAAAGGAAAATCCACAATTTCTGGGAATGAGATGCGCAAGGACACATAAAACACATTGATCGTCACAATAACAATCAGATAAATATTCCATATGATTATGACTGTGTCGTCTGGTTTTAATAGCCATTTTCGAGCATTACTACTTAAGAATTTGCTTTGATGTTCTGCCATTATTATTTAAATTTACATAGTATACAAGAAAACCAGTTGTTTAATTTAAGTAAGATTTACGAGGGCTTATCTCTTGGCAGCAATCCTTGATATTTGTAAAAATTATAGTCTGCTGCTTTATCCTTAATTAAATTGAATTCTTGCTTAGTGAAAAGACTCAAATCCTTTCGAGTGATCTATTTAGTGAGTAGAACTATGAATCTGGAGACTATAAGTATTATTCTGAATGCTCTGTATTTCCAAATTGGATTCTCGATTCCAAAACTTTGATGTTGAGTCCTTCTTGCCCACAATAATACTTTGGAGCTCTTGTTCATATTGGTTTCAAGGGGTTCAGGACAATCCTCATTGTTACTTATTTGACTTACGATCATGAACAATATAATAATTATATAAAATGGATAAACTCGATAAAATTATAGCATAATTAGACGAATTGGAAATTAGTTAAAAACACAGGGAAGAATTGCTCAAGCGAAATCAAGCCACTTTTCTTCTAAAATTGCCAAAAGTACCCAATCAGATTTTTTATTCAGGTCATTTTAATCTAGAGAGTGTGTGGGTTCTTAGATGACAATGATCTATATAGATTTACAGCAACTTGTTCTACTCTCAGAAAGGTAATGTTCTGTCCTTTGGGATTCAAATTGTTAATGCTTAGTAGAAATGCTAATCATATGGTTGTTGGACCAAAACAAGAAGAGATAGAACTTGAGCCTGAAAAGGTTGAGGATATAGCAAGTGAGAATTTATAAAACAATAATAACATGTTCGAGACAGAGGAGGATACTCTAGCTGAATTAGAGGTTTTGAAGGCTGTGCAGGATTTCTTATAGAGCAAATTGTCAGATTCATAAGCTAACATGAAAAAATTGCAGGAAATGTTGGATGATGCTTAGGCTACTCTCAAATATCAAAGGTCAGTTAATCTCAAATTGCAATCCAAGATTAACATTTTGCAAAATCAATTGTCCACTTCTGAACTTCAGAGATAGGATATCAAAGAGAATATGGCCGAGTTGATTTAAAAATATAACAAATTAGTAATACATTTTAGAAATGCTCATAGATCATCTAAATGGAAGAAGAAAGAGTCATCCTTTTGGAGGATAAGGAGAAACTTCTGGGACATAAGAAAGTCTTGATTGAAGAAATCTATAGATTGAGAAGATTGGTATCTTAGATGGAAGGAAATCAAAATAGTTATAAAGAAGCCTTGAGATAAATGAAAACCTTTATGGAATGTGTTGAAGTTAAATCTATTTGAGTTTGTTATCTATTGAATTATTAATTAACTTTGATGATGTACTATTTTCACAATTAATAAACTCATATTAAAATTGGATATTGAAGAGAGGTATTTTTAGTTTAAAAATCTTACCAAATATTCCAATTTTAATTATTCATGGATTATTAATTACCTTCTATGGCAGACCCATTCACTTGGGTTTCTTATACTATTTTAGGCATTCTGGTAGGCTTATCATAAGCTGGTGGTATTGGTGGTGGTCCAATTATATCTCCAGTCATGATGGTTTTATTGGGATGTCCAAGTAAAAAGGCAATTTGGAACACTTATATTATGCTCTTGGGAGGAAGTCTTGGTAATTTCATCAGATTGGGAAAAGAGAGAGTAATCATTTATATTTAATTGTTCTAGACTGCAAATGGAAGTGCTCCATTGATAAATTATCAATTGGTTCAAATTACATTGCCTTTATTATTGGCTGGAGCAATTTTGGGAGTTGCAACAGGTAAATGGTTACCAAAACTGCTCATTGTGATCTTTTTGTTCGGTATATTACTCACGGTCTTTTTAAAAACTAAGAGTTTATACACAAAAACTCGCAGTAAAGAAATGAATGAACATTTAATTCCTGTTGAACTCAAGGAATTGTCAATATAGAACTAGAGTACCCACTCAAAAGAGTTGAATATAATCAAAGAAAAGGATGGAAGACTCTACCCAACAGAACCACTTACAGAAATCAGCTTAACTGTGTTAATTATCATAGTTGTTACATTATTAAAAGGGTCAGGAGCAGTACCATCAATTCTCGGAATAGATTATTGTGGTTTAGGTTTCCATTTTTTGAATATTGTCATATTTGGAATTGCTTGTTATAATGTTTACAGATATAGAAAATTTATATCGAAAGATGAAGAATATAAACAATCTATTGGTTATGATTTTTCAGATGGTAAAATGAGTGCAGTATTTGATATTACAGTTAAATCAAGTTTATATGCTGGATTTTTGGGTGGACTTGTTGGTCTAGGAGGAGGTGTAGTACTGACACCTCTTTGGTTAGAAACTGGAATAAACCCTCCTAGAGCAGCAGCTTCAGCTACATTTACAGTCTTATTTACTTCATCCATCTCAGTTTTTATCATTGCTCTTTCTGGAGGATATTAATTTGAAGAATTCATCATTTTAGGGGTAAAATATAATCATATGTTTTAGTTGGTTTCTAGTTTTGGCAGTTATTTGGTTGCAGGAGTCCTGAAACATATAGTGTAAAAATATCAAAGGGAATCAATTCTAATCTAAGTGCTTTTGGGAGTTATAGCATTTGGATTAATTATACTTCCATTTTAATCTATTAAAGATGTTTATTAAAATCCGCTTGGTGCAATTTAATTCGGCCATTTATGCTGATACTTTCAATGTCTTATTTATATATATATATGTAGTTATTTATAAAAATAATAAAGTATTACTTGAAACTTTTTAATATTTAATATATATATAATAAATGATCTCAATTAAATTTCATTTTGTAGATAATTTTTTTGGCTTTTTTCTCAATAATTATAAGTTGGACAATAAACTCTAAAGAATTTTATCTTCTTAAAATCATTGATTATAAAAAAATTGTCATGCCATACTTTATAAGAAGTGTAATTTGATAGTATTCTAACTATGGAAGTTTCTTTAATTTTAGTTCTCAAACTTTTGAATTCAGTCCTATTTTGTTTAGTTTTGAGTTTCTAGTCTGTCATAGAATACAGAAATAAAGATTACCCTAATTCATCATAGGACTCTTCCTTATTATATATATTTATTAGATCACTAACTTTATTCTTTGATTTTTCATAAATCATCAATATTTTCTCTTTCTTGCATTCTTGATGATTTGGTTGACTTCTAATAACAAAATTCGCACTCCTCCTTCTAATTTCTAATTCATGAAAAGATGGTTCAAAAATAAGTTATCTTGATTTTAGAGAAAAATTCTATCTCTACTCTAATAGAATTAATTCAAATTAAATAGATTGTTAACAAGCACTGGTTACTTTAATAATAGCAATCCTTTATCTTATTCATTCAACTCTTACTTGAATTGTGGACACTACTTACCAAATATTCTCATTTTTTGGGGAGATGGCTGATATTTATTTATTAATTCACTATATATTATTTATTTAAGTTAAATATCAATTAAAAAGCCATAATCGTAAATTTTAACCATCATTTGAAAAGATGCACAATCAAATAATTTAAAATATATATATATAATTTAACAAATAAACCAAATATAGTAATTTAAATTTCTTTATGAAGAGTATTTAGGTTTTTTTAATATATTTATATAATCATGATATATTTGAAGCATTCAATTTATTTCTTTTAGCTTATTGTAGAGAAAATGTGTTTGATAATAAGGGTCTTAGTAGTAATTTGACTTAATTATTTTTAGGAGATGTACTGAATTTCTTTCTGTGAGTACTATTTCTAGTTGTAGCTGGTTAATCTTCTAATCCAGTAAGTTAATGTAATTGTTGAAAACTATTTTTAAGAGCTTTGGCATCAAATATCAATTTTTGAATTGTATTCTTTTTAAAATTCATGGATTCATTATCTGTATTCATTCCAAATAACTCCATAAATTCAGCTAAAATCCGAATCTAAGATTTAAAAGTCTAATTCATAATATTGATTTGATCTTCAAGATTCAAGAATTCTTTTTGATTTGATTTTAGTTTTAAAGCATCCGAAACATCAATCTTGTTCGCCTTAGTCTTTAGGAAATCTTAAAGACAATCTATTTATTATGCAATATCTTGAAGATTATAGGCTTCCATCTGATTGATAACATTTTGCTTAATAGTTTCTTCTATTTTACTTATTATTTACTCTGTTAATTCCTTAGCCATAATTGCCTTTTGGTCATCAAAATATTAATAGAATTTAGTGATTTATTTTGATGTTTCTTAAATTTAAAGCAAAATGTTTTAGGATTTAAGTCTATTTTCTTCATTTTCTTATTTTAATATAAGGAAGTCCATTTTGGTAGACTTTTGTAATAATTCATAATCTGTTGCCTTGATAACTTTGCGGAATCCTTCTACATCATTTACACTTTTGTCGACAATGTCTTGTATTTCTTAGAATTTGGGTAGGAGGAGATTCTGCAATAATGTAAGTTGTGATTGGGTTGCAAATTATTTGGAAGATTCTACAAATTCTTCAAATTCGTGTAATTTAACAGTTGTAGTTAAGTCTGATAGAATGAACTAAAGGGAAATTTATCAATTACTCAATACATCTTATTTGTTCACAATTGTGTTAATATTAGTATTGGTAAATCGTTTGAGCTCAATTAGTTACTCACTCACATGATGAAATCTACAATCCAGGAGATCTAATTGTTATAGGGTTAGGTCTTTAGGAGCAAATTTGGCTTAGAGTTTACTCATATGGTCACTTATCTCCTCTTCGAAGATGGAATGAAAATCCTGAGTACTTATACAAGAATCAAGGGATTGTTGAATTGTTGTTAATTCATTATTGAATTGAGCTTAGATTTTGGTGAGATCTTCTTGACGTTCTCGTTTTAATTGACGAATTTCAATTTGAATATCATACAAATCTTCATGACTTGGTTTATCTTTAATTTGCTAAGTCAGCTGTTAGAGAACATGATCTTGAGTATTAAATTTATACATGATGGCATCGGTTTGTTGTTTTGATTGATCTCTCAAATGATCTAATTTTACACTTATTGAATGATTTAATTCTGTAGAGATTTGGCTGATGAATTTACCTTTTGGTTTAAATGATAATTTCTTAGAGTCTTTGTTTTGTTTGCATTTCCATTACAATAGTCTGTCTGTATCGAATTCAAAGACATCACTCAATCCTAGAATGTACTCAAAGAGTAATGATACTGATTCTTCATCCATGAGACGAGAGATATATATATATAAAGAAATTAATAATTGTTGATTATCTGAAAATTAAGGTTGGGGAAATTACTCAGGTATAATGCTGAATAAGGATTTGATTAATATAAATTGCTGACTTTCATAATATATTGACTAGATTATGGAAAATAACCCAAATCATTAAGAATAATAACATGTCTGTTCCGATTCCTGAATAATATGCATCATAACTGGATTTGAAGTACTCTTTGACTCTGAAATTCATTTTGATTGCCAAACAAGCACTCACTATCAAGAATATTGCAACATAAATTCCAATTCCTATCCATCCATCTAATATTATTCATCAATTTCTACCCATTCCCAATATACCTGCTATCATACCAGCATTCAATGATCCATATACTCTAAGGTTTTTAAGTTGATTGGTGTTTAATTTTAATCGTTCCTAATTGACTTCCAGATCATCCAATTCAACTTTTGGTTCCTCCATTAATTAATTTATATATTAAATAATATATTAATTATTCTCCTCTTATCATTTTTATCAATATATAATAATATGTCTAAATTATCAAGCCATTTCAAATTACCATTCATATCATTTTGGAATCAAAAGCATATCAATTAAAAATTTAATTCTATTTTACATGGATTAAAGAATCTAATAGTTGGAACAATGCATTTTGCAATTGCAATTCTAAATCCTAATTAATAATATACAAGTACCCAATGAGACAATCCCAGAATACTTGAGAATTATTGAAGTCCCAGCATTTGTTAAAGCAAAATTAAAATCCATTAGGTTCAATCCTTAATATGAAGCCAAAGATGCTATCTTCAAAAATGCTACGAATATTGGAATCAATCGAGTTTATTAAGGATATTGGTAAAATGAGAAGTAGAATGGAAGAGGTTAAGAATTTAATGATTAGGAAAAAAAATTCTTTTATGGCTATTGGTAAAATGGAGTCTTTGTTTAAGGTTTAATTATAACTGAAAACTTTTTATTTGAAGGAGATGCTAAGGACGAACAATTTTTGGAAGGGGTTCTTGTTTTTTCTGATAAAAGAGTTTTTAAGGGTAAGTTTGTGCAATAAGCACTAAATGATGATGAGGGAGAGTATCTTAGTAAGACAGAAAAATACAAGGGAGGATTTAAAAATGGAATGAAGCATGGGAAGGGAAAATTAGAAAATGAGAATTTTACATATGAAGGAGCATTTGTCAATGATAAGATTTGTGGTTAAGGAATATTGATAGAAAAGGCAAATGGGTGGAGACAAGAGGGTTTGTTCAATGATGGCAAATTGAATGGTAAGGGTGTGTACATTAGAAGTTTGGGAGATTATTATGAAGGTATTATTAGATTATATCAAATTAAGGGGATTTCAAAGAAGGTTAGAGACATGGCAAAGGCACTTTGAAGAGAGATGGAATAATATACCAAGGAAATTACATTGAAGGATTGTTGGATGGATGGGTGTAGATGACTTAGGAGAAGAGGATCTTCAAATGTTTTTTTGAGAAGGGAGAAGAAGATAAAAATAAAAGATCATTGGTTTAATGAATATTATATTGTTATTCATTAAAGCATTCAAAATCTCACACAATTTGTAAATAAGTACTTGACTATTTTGGAAAACACTAAATTTTATATGTCCAAATCTTTTGCATCTTGATTATCTGCCTTGAGTAATGATACCATTTTAGCTATCTCTTCACTTAATTTTTCTAGCTTAACACGTTTAGTAAACTATTTTTGTAATTTCTCAAACCTCAAATTAGATTTCACACTCATATACATCAAAATCACCAACACTATATATGATTCAAACTATACCTATTAAGTAAAGTGGCAACATCTTTTAGATTATTCTCCATATCTATTTGGAATATTCAAATATAATTAACATCATAGTGTGATACCATTTCCTTCTATTTCTCAAATCCAATCGCTTTTGATAGTTTAACACTCTCAACTAATAATTCTATTCACTATTGAATTCCTATTTGATAAGTGTCTCCAACAGAATGTTAACCTTAAACTAATTCAAGTATATCTAAATTGGTGCCCTGCACACTGGACAAGAGTTGTAATTTTGATAGAAGTATTTATTACGAACACACGGTTTACAAAACGTATGACCACATGTTAAAGTGATTGGTTGTAACAATGTTTATAAACATATTGGACAATCGAAAAGTTGTTGCATAATTAATTAATAATGGACTCATTTCTACACACTATTTAGAGTATATAAAACATACTCAATGCACAAACAGACATTAAACACATCAAAAACGCCCTCAAATGCTTGACAGATGATTACAAATTGCAACTCAAAATTAACTCTCTTCTCGTACAATCCCTTATCTCATTCATAGTTACTCATCCATCTAAGCCAATAAGATAAAATCAGAAACGCCTTGAATAAAGATCAATTGCTCTATGACTTCATTCTCAAAACCTGTCAGAACCAATAGAATGCCCTTAATTAGATTTCTTTGGAATCTTTGAAATATTTTGGAACTGTTGCCTAGATCGACAAGTATCGAGAAGCCATCGACATTCTTATGAATGAAGGGATAGATTTACCAAATACGTATGTGTTTGCTAATTAGTTATTCGAATTGCAACGAAATCATCAAAATAGAGAAGTACTTACATTACAGTCATTTTAACAAATAGTTTATGATCATCAAATAGATCTGTAAGGTCTAACTACTATAGTCTAATCCATATCTACTATTGAAGAAAAACACATCTGCAGTATTATGATAACAATTATAATTCGTTAGTGCTTGATAGTTTTAAATCAACTACTTTTGTAGAGAGAATATCATCAATTGAGGACATACTTAAAAGTGATCAAAGTATTTTAACAAGTGAGCAATTGGAGTAATTAAAAACTATTTAATCCTTTGAACAATAATTCAATAAGTAAGTGAATAAGCAACAAAAAGATAAATTCAAAAATTTCAATCAATTTCTAGAATGGATAGCAAAATAATTGAACATCAAGGTCTCCATAAAAGAGAACTAATTGCCTCCATAATAGAATTAACAATAAAATTCAGTTCCCATTTTGGTTATAGAGAATTAGCCATCTGATAGAACTGCCAAAAGTGTGAGATCAACCATTGTTTCAGAGCCATAAAAGAATCCTTTTCATGAGGGCGAAAAAGCTTTGAGGCAACGAGTTCAATTCGAATTGGAAAAATTTAAGAGGAGATAATTACCGGATAAATAATATTCTGGACAGTTGGTTTAAGGATACTTGAACATCAATTAGGAAGATTAAAATTAATTAAAGAAGTTTAAGTTATCTAGTATAAAAAATAAATAAACGCTATTTGATTCTCCTGAGATCTAATTGGGAGTAATTAAGAAATTTATCTTAAAAGAAGAACTCAATTGCAACTTTTTAGAATTAACTTTTTATATAGGAAATAAGCGTTAAAAGATCTTAGACAATTGTTCGATGGTTTTTGAGGAACCAAGAGGATTGCAATTTTGGGTACCCTAAAATAAAATGGATAGCCAAATCCTAGGTAGAAAGTAATGTAGAATGTCATGTTTGATAGCCTATTAATATAGTCTATTTGAGCCATTGAAAGGTAAATATAATAAATATGAGGTTAATTTTAATGGATTGAAGATGATAAGGTGTGCGAGGCTGTGTTTATGGTCCCTTGTTTATTGAGTCAATTCATGAATTTTTTGCCAATAGGAAGGAGGTATTTTAAATACATTTGGAAGGAGAAGAAATTGTTTTGTCATAGATCAGAGATATTTAAATTAAATGAGAAGGTTATTAAGAGTGTGTTGGATTTTAAGAGGTATATTCCGAATTTGTGCTACTTGGTTGATTTGAAAGATTTTTTGGATGATGGAAAACCGTAATTGAAGGATTTGAAATTGGGAGGAGAATTCACTTTATAAGATATACGAGTTAGATACTGGATAAAAATAATAATTAGATAGAATTTGGATGTGGTAGTGAAGGTGATAGGAATGAGTGATGCCATTCAAATAGTGAAATGTTTGGTGTTCATTTTGAAGGCATGAAAGATAATTTAATATATATATATTTATAATATGTAATAAATTGGACACTCGATCTTATCAAAATGGTATATAAGTAATTCTATTGCTCCTTAGGTACTCATCAAATTACTTTTATAGAGCACTGTTTCAATATGAAGTGAAAGAAGAGGGTTATATTATGGGAAAACTTATAGAGAGTAAGGAGGATATTCTGGATGTGGTCATACATACCATTCGTTTTACTTATAGAGAAGGATTCCAAGCATATCAATGTCAGAACAGCACTTTGACAACGGATTCTGGATGGGGATGTGTAATTCGAGTAGGATAAATGATGATGGCAGAACTCTTAAAAAGGCATTTGAAGTGTTTCTATAATGTGAATTTGTTCTAGTTTCCTCCGCTAATGTAGGAGGTCTTGCAGTTATTCAAAGATGATGATGAAATGGAGAGTTTAAAGGTATAGGGGAAACCATCAAAGTATGGGTTTTCGATCTAGAAGATAATGAGAATAGCATATGAAGAATGGGGCAAGAAACCTGGAGAATGGTATAGTCCAAATCAGATAGTCCAGGCTATTTATAAAATTCTATCAGACAATAATATAATTTGTAAGTTTATAATTTAAGAGAAAAGATAGTTGCGGTTTGAGTCTTTTGCCCTTCTATGAGAGCCAAATAGATCTAAAGGTTATTTTATAAGAGATGTGTGTGATGGAAAATTGCATTTGTGAATAGAGAGTGTTTTTCATTGAGAAATTCTTACAGGATTTGGTGAGACTGGAGATTAATAAGGAGGAAGTAATTTAGGTTATACATGGGAATGATTCAATTAGTGATGTGTATTACGAGGATCTATCGTAATAGAATAAGCAGGAGATTGGAATGTTGTTAAAAAAATATGTTTGTTAGAAATGTTTTGTACCAATCAGAGCAGTGGCAATTTGTTTATTAAGTAGAATTGGATGTGATGAACCTAATCCAGATTACATTTAAGCCATTAGACAATTTATGAAGAAGAAATATTTTGCTGGATTATTAGGAGGTAGACCTAGGGAAGCTAATTTCATTGTAGGTTTTGTGGATGACAAATTCGTTGTATTGGATCCCCATTTAGTATAATAAGCCAATATGAATCCTGAAGAATATGTTAAATCGTGTTTTCCAGGTGAAGCTCTCTTTATGAGTGACAAAGAAATTGATTGTTCTCTTGGATTGGTGTTCTATTTGAAAAATGAAGAGGATTTGATTGAATTAATCTATGATATTTAAGCTCATCAACAAATCAACTTCTTTAGCTTTGCAACAATACAAAATTGGACGTACTCTAAGATTCAGAAAGAAGTAGAACTTGAGAAAATTAAAGAGATGCAAAATTTCTTAAATGAATTTCTGGTTTAATAATAATAATAAATTCTGAATCTGGATGTCTCAGCTAATCTAGAGGGTTATGAAATTGGTTCCTCCTAATAGACACTTGTAAATGATATAGAATATAGTTATGAATAAATCTGAGATATTTAAATATATCCAGTTGTTTTTGATGATATTAAGATTATTATTACTATTAATATTATAATTCATTATTTATAATTGTTTAAAATGTTTGTCAAGAAGGACAACAAGATCAATGAGAATTCTATCGATTAGATTAACTTCTTATTTCCCAAAAATACGAACACTGCATATTGAGACAAGACAGCCAAAGTCAATGCTATAAATGCAATTGGAATGTTATCAACCACATTATCATATGTTGTCTATAAGATGATCACATTGAAACTCAAAATGAAGCCAAACAATATGAATTACAATGATAAACAAAGTAATTTCAATATCAGATGCCCATACACAACTCCCAAAAGATTCAACGCTATCATCATACCTATCTAACATAAAGAAACTATTATGTTTATTTTGTATGGTTGGCTTATTAAAGTAGGCAAAAAGGCTCCTATTGTTGTGGCTACGCCCATCACGCAATAAGTAATGAAAATATACTCACCTTAATAATTGATGTAATTAAGACTCCCTATAGCTGGAGTGAATAACATTATAAATTGGTACATTATCATATAAAAATGTTCATCCTTGTACATTCTCTTCTCTTATACTAAAAAAGTGTTGTGGATCACATTCCTTGAATTCATGGCTCCTCTCAAATTTTCCTTTGAATCGAATTCCTCCTCAACAGTTGAGTATCTTGGAAACCACAAATATGTTCCCACTCCTCCTAAAATGAAAATCAACATTGCGTAAATCAAGCAACCTCTTTTGTAATGTATATCCTCAGAATCTGATAGATCTCCAATCTTTGGGTTTATTAACAATTGAAGCACCAATCCAAATATCAACCACCCGAATGAAATCCCTCCCAAAAACTAACAGATGCATTTATCTCTATGTGGATTATTACACCATACCGAAATTAAGTGGATTTTCATTCAACATTGAATCCATAGGATCCAACAATACCAATCCTAACAAAAAAACATAGATATTTGGTAAGATATTCAAAATTAGAGGAATGTCTTTTATGAATCCAAAAAGAAACAAACTAAAAGAATAGATCACTATTTATAAGAGGAGTACAACCATCTTCACCTTCCGATTAAAATATTTATTCAAGTACAACTATTCAAATACTTTTTAATTTTTATACTCTTGCAAGCATCCCTAAATTCAATTCAACTATTAAGAGGAAGGATTCTACTTTTTATAAGTGGGTTTCCTCTTTATTCTCACCTAATTCATTAAGAGCATAGGTTTTGAGAATTGTCCAATCTATTGTTATTACGATGACATCATACTTAACGTAGATCCCATTATCATTTCTATGATAAAAGTGCCAATAATTTACATAAATAATATAATATTAAATAATCATTATAGCATTTTATTGTTTTAATATTGTTACAACAAACTCCATAATTTTTCCTTAGATACTGAGTCTTATTCATCACTGCCACTATAAGTGATCATTATTTCTATATCTCTCTCAGATAATTGCAATCCTAAAATCATGTGTTTCATTTAATTTACCCCAAAATTCACTTTGCTTCTTTAATTCATCTTTGCTTATCTTTCCAGAATTGGTGGTGTCCATGATTTAGAAAATCATTTCGAAATTTTCATAGAGATTGTAGTTGAAATTAAATTATTCTGTAAATTGATTTAGGTCGAGCTAATTCCCTCTTAGATTTTCTAGTTTCTTTACAAGCAATTCACAATTCCTATCGAGTCCTGTGGTTTATAGAATTTCTAAGAATTCGCTCACATTCAATAGGTTGGTTTCTGGCGATTTGAATTCATTGAATATTTCCATGATTTCTTATTGCTACTTCTGTAACATGGGTTTGTCTCCTTAATTCATTTATTTTAATAATTATTTAATTATATTAATTATGAGTAAATTTAAGTAATTCAGAGTTGCTTCATCAATGTCTCCCCATAAATACGTTTTTAAATTATAAATAAATAAATGAAATATTATAAGCAAGGTCAATTGCTTTGTTACATCGGAACATGGATGCCTTTTGTTATATTAGTCACAATATTTCTATTCTTCTACGGAGTGTATATGTAGGTATATGATGCCTATTAATGTTCAAGACCTACTTGTTGCCCAGAATAAGATCGGAGTACATTGAAAAACCAGTGGTAGAAATAAACACTTACTTGATTCAATTAGTACACATCAATGACTATGTCTTCAGTAATTCAACTGTGGTAATTACAGTATTATTGCATACAATACTTGTTCTCTTTTTAATTACATTAATAAGAGTAGTAACAACATTGCCTGGGAAAGTACCTAAGGAATGGCTGAACAGAGTGGAGGGAGAGATTAACAAGATGATTGAGAATGAGGAGAACATGATCAATTTTCACAAGAAAAGGATCATAGACATCAACATCCTTCTCTTCAGAAATAGATGATGAACAACGATTGTAATTGAATTCAAAAGCAAGGTTGGAATTGATAGATAAGTCTGGACATCGGTTCTGTAAGAATTGCTAGGCATTCAAACCGAAACGTTGTCATCATTGTCGTCAATGCAAGACATGCTGGTTGAAAATGGATCATCATTGTCAATGGCTTAACAATTGCATAGGTTACAATAATTATAAAATGTTCATCAATTTGCTTGGTTATTCATGTATAAGATACATTATATCTAGGGTTGCTTATAAGTTTTATAATGCTAACTTACAGTCGTTGCTATTATGACACTCTATATTCATATTCATCTGATAGTAAACTATTCCTGGTTTCCTTCACTTTTTTGTATTGTTGTTTCTTATGGATACTTTTAACGGCCTTCACGTTTTTCCACTTATGGTACTCTAATTCATTATAATGAGATCAATAGGGCTATCAAATCCAACATCACAACCCTTGAATATTGCGAGAATAAACCCAGACAACCAGTTCAGAAGAGTGCTTTAGAGAATATTGTTGAAGTGTTTGGCATCAATCCTTTAATTTGGTTCTTACCAATTTAACCAAATACGAAACCAATATTGGATTGAAAAAAAGATAAATAAATTTACATAATCATATAATTATATTTTTACAAAATGGAAAAAATAGATATATTAGTTAAAGTGGTAATCATTGGAGATACAACAGTGGGAAAGACAAACATTATGACGCAATATTGTGATACTAATTTTAAAATGAACTCTCTTCCTACAATCGGAGCTGATTCCAGAGTAAAGATGATTTAAATGAATGAAAGAGAAACTATAAAAATGATGATATGGGATACGTGTGGTCAAGAGCGTTTCAAATCCATTACAAAAAATACATTTAAAGGTGCATAGGGATTTGTGTTGGTGTATGATATTAACATCAAAAAGCACTTTTGAACATGTGGAAGGTTGGCTAGAAGTAAAACTTAATTTAATCTAAGTCAATTAAAGACAACATTGATACAAATACAGTTTCGATTGTTTTGGTTGGCAATAAGTCTGATCTAGATGAATTGAGGCAGGTTTCAAGAGATCAAGGACAGACTTTGGCCAATAAACATAATCTCAACTTTTTTGAAACTTCAGCCAAGTTGGGAATTAATTTGAGTGAGGTTTTCATTTCACTTGCTAGAAATATCAGGAAAATCATAAACTCAGCAAATAAAGACACCGAGATGTTAACTACAGATAAAACTAAAGCTTAAAAGAAGAAAGGGTGTTGCTGATATTCAATATACTAAATTAATTAATCATTATGAAAGAATATTTTCTCTGCAAGTAGGACATTCTGGTTTTCTCAAAATCCATTCTTTTATGCAATCGTTGTGGAAATAATGATTGCATTATAGAATTTTAATTAAGATTTTCTCGTTTATCTCTAACAAACAAATTGAGCATACTCTACTTTGCTTATAATATATTTACTCTGACTCAGTAATTTCATCCACTCCAATCAGAATAGGAATGTCATCAAACAAATTCTTTGGTGTCTACTCTTTCAACACTTTTAAGTTTGTAGGTTTCAGTTAGGGGAATTGCAATAAATTTAGGTACATGAAATTCTTTGTAAGGAAAGATTTTTTCAAAGACTCTATGTAATTGTTTCCCCAAAAGTATAGAGATTGTTGACTTATTGGCTTATGAATCTTTTTTTTAATTTCACAGACTTTGTCTTATGAACTGTTGGATAACTATTATTTTTTTTGATTCATTTGAAAATTTATTTTCTCACATTTTTTTACTAGAATTTGATATAAATAAAATATAAAACCTTAAATTCATTACCAAACTTTTTAATACAATTTAATCACAATAATAATTATAATTCACTAGACAAATCAAGAATTTATGATAAGTATTAAATTTTCTAATTGTCCATGTATTTCAAAGACTGCTGTCTATGTTACTGCAATTCGCTACTTAGCTGTTCAATTATCTTATCCCTATTTCGCAATAAATTCTGACAATTCTATATGTCTTGAGCATATTGATTCTTTAATTTGGCCACTTCCTACTCCTTCTCCAATTACAAAGCATTCAAATACTCCTTCTAATATTGTTTTTCTGCTTCCAAATCCTTCTAACTCTACTCAGTCTTCACCTTATTTGCTCCTTAACTTTACTAACTATATTGCAATATCTCTTAATCCTTCTTGCTCACCTCCTTTGTCAACAATTACAACTTTGTATTTAAGTAATTGATCTGATCTCATTACTCAATATTATTACTTTCTATTCATACACCTATTACATCAATTGAATCTCAGCCTACTTCAACTCCTCCAAACGTGCAATCTCTGAGTTCATCCTATCGTTATTTAAATTAAATTATATTTTTGAAATCCTTACTATTTTTCCCTTTTGATCATCCAACACGAAAAAACAATTCAATATAAATTAAATATTCCTATTAATACTCACTATTTTAACATCCTCGTCCAATCGTATGATTTCCATATTAATTAAAATGCGTCATTCTCTTATTTGGCTTCCTACTCAGTTCTTGGCTTCGGACTCAAAACATTTGATTTCTCGACACTCAGAATCGATGCCAATATCTCTCTAGCAAAATTCGATGAAAAATTATTCTCATTCTCAATCACATGAGCATATCCCAATTTTAAACTGAAATCTACATAAAAATATGCAAATCCTTTTGGAATCTATTTCCTTATGCCTCCCTTATTCTTTTGAATTTCAATGATCTTTTTGTGAGTAGCCCAGAATCCATCTAATTCATCCATCCCTTGTTTGAAATATAAATTTAAATTAGCCTCCTTGCTAATCTTATATGGTATAGCAACACATTCAATAATTGCATGAGGGACATATTTAAACTTGAAAGCATTCTCATAAAATATGCACTCCAAGTTTGCCTTATCAAATGCTCCAACCAAACATTTTTAAAAGTTTCTGATCTCTTCATAAGTCTCATCTTCCACATCTCTAATGCATTAAACATGTTCCATTGGCACTATCAACAAGTGAGTGTAAGCATTATAAAACCCTTTAAATAGCACAATTATGATTTACTTTATTTTGGCAACACTAGCATCACATTGTTGCTTTGACTTAGAATGTAATATTGACTTAATTTCTCATTGCTCAAACAAAACTCGCATTCAGAAATCGCCTTCTATTATTATCTTTACTAAAACAGCATTTCGCCCTTCTTTTAATTTTCCTTGTTCTTTTCCTATTTAGTTTTTTGATGATCTGATTTTTGATCATCATCCTCTAAGTCATCAAATTGTAGTCCTTTCTCCTTAATTCTTTATTTGTGCAATTGATCATCCATAATTCTAACTTTCTCTATTAATCAACAATAAGTAATTACTCTATCTAACAGGTTCCTCAATTTCATCTTCATACACCTTACGTACTTTCACTCCTTTAAGCATTTATATTAAAATAAAAATAATATTGATATAGACAACCCAAGTTTCAATATTAAATACATACAATAAGTGTATGAAAATGTAGCTGATAAGATGATCAATATACTGTCTAAATATATTTGTCACTCTATCTAAAACTCATATTTAAAGACAATAAAGATTGATATGTAAAATTCATTATGATATTGTAAGGTTGGCTATAGGTTCGTGTGGTTATTTATAGAATGTAAATAACATATATTTGGAAAGTGCCTGCAGTTACAAGAAGATTAGACATGAGCAGTATATTATGTAAAGAGTATTTAAAATGTCTGAAAATGAGGAACCTCTTTACTAGTTACATTAATTAATGCAAATTAAAAAGCTATTATTTATTGTTGTTTGAAAATGGGATAACCAAAGAAAAGTATTGTAGAACTTAGGAATTCAGTACTAGATCTTGAATAATGTAATTGGGATTAATAATTATTAAAAATGATTTATTTTATAATCCAATTTTGTATGTTAGAAATAATAATATATATTATATAATTTTATATGTAACCATCATCAAAATAGCCACCTAAGGAGGATGAGTAATGCTCGGTGGAGGATCATATACTGAAGAAGTTTGAATTGCTGGAATTTAAGGGGAAGGGAGCATACGGTGTGGTATGGAAGGCAATAGATCGTAAAACGAAATAAATTGTGGCACTAAAGAAAGTAAAGCTATTTATTTAATTCAGATTTTCGATGCTTTTCATAATGTAACTGATTCTTAAAGAACATTCAGAGAGGTGATGTTTTTGGAGCAACTGAACAATCATGAAAACATAATTAAATTGACATCTGTCATAAAGGCAGAGAACAACAAAGATTTATATATGGTATTCGATTACATGGAGACAGATTTACATAAGGTAAGTATGTATGATTGAGAAGTAGGTCATACGAGCTAATATTCTTGAGCCTGTTCACAAGAGATACATCGTGTATCAAGTTTTAAAGGGTTTAAAATATCTGCATACTGGAGAATTGATACATCGAGATTTGAAGCCTTCGAATTTGCTGATCAATTCAGAATGTAAAGTGAAAGTAGCAGATTTTGGATTGGCAAGGAGTGTAGCAAAACCAGATGACAACACAAACCCAATTCTAACTGAATATGTAGCTACTAGATGGTATAGAGCCCCTGAAATATTGTTGGGATCTCAATATTATTCAAAGGCAGTCGATATGTGGAGTCTAGGATGCATTGTGGGAGAGATGATAGTTGGAAAAGCCATATTTCCTGGAACATCAACTATGAATTAGATTGAAAGGATAATCGAACTCTGTGATCGACCCAAACCTGAGGATATCGAAGCATTAAGAGCCCCATTAGCAGAACGAGTCTTGGATGATATAAAAACACAAAAGAGGAAGAGTTTTGCTTAGTATTTTTCTGCTGCCTCTGAAGATGCTATAGATTTTCTCAGGTAAATTATACAATATTTATGAATCTCATAGAAAAACGCTGGTTTACAATCCCAATAAAAGAATGACGGTAGAGTAGGCATTTGAGCATCGCTATGTCAAGGAATTTAAGAATTGTGAAGATGAAACTAAGAGAGGTATTGTCGTTAGTATTTTTGTAGACTCTCCTTTTGAAACATACATGGATGACAATCGCAAATATTCGATAAAAGAGTACCAGAATTTTCTGTATAATCGCATAGTTTAAAAGAAGAGGAATGAACATAAATCATCATTGATGTTTAGAAACTAAAATAATGGGAGTGTCAATCTTAGCGTTGATAAATCCCCATCTCCAACTAAGAAGGATTCTTCTATAGTTAAGAAGGATTCAGAAACATCTAATATTGATAATGATTTTCAACATCATGGTCATGGTCGTGCTCTTCATCAGAAGTCTTAGTCCTACTCTTAAGGGTAGTTTATGCAGAGGAAAAACACCTCACAGGAGGATACTTAGTTTTAGGTCTCGACTCACCAAAGTCCTACTTATAAGAAGCATCAATAGATGTTTCCGATTGTCGATTCCAGCAGTCCAATTAATAAAGGCAGTAGAAAGTCCTCCTTGGATAAAAAGTTACAAAGCACCATGACTTCTGCTCTCATGTAGGCTACTCTGTCTCAATAATAATTCTCAAGAAAAGGATCTTAAGGTTCTATATCTAAAACAACTGTTTTCAATAAATCCACCATTAACACACAATACAACTCCTTGTTTCAGAAAAAAAAGTGAACTTATTAAATATCTATATACCAAATTTATTATCTTTCAAAGATCATTAATATAATAATGAAAATTAGCATAATTTTAGGTCTAATCAAGCTAAAAAAGGAAAGAAGATAAATATAAAAAATATTGGACAACATCCATCCTGAAGAATAGCATTTCGCATCCAATAAATAAGAAGAAATTCTATATTACAATATCTACATGTTGACCATACTCCCTATTTTGAGGATATTAGAAATTGTGAAACACGCTCTAATTGAAAAATTCATCACAAAAATCCCAGCATTTCATCCCTTCACTAAATAATAGGTTGAAGAAGAGTCCTTGCATATTTTCAACGACTTCCTTGACTCTCTGTCTTAAAAAGGACAAATGAATGTCAATAAATATATACACAAGGTAATAAAAAAATACACCACATACTAAGAAGCATTAGAGATGGCCACTTCTGCTAAGACTCTGTTAGTTTAACCGAATGATTTCTAAAGACAATCTTCAATATAATTAAAGCATATCAATGGGAATGTGAAAGTCAAATCAAAGATGTCTGATTTTTATGAGAATACTGCAGATGATCATTTGTAAAGGAATATTGCAATGAATAGAACCTTCGATTTACTTTACATTTTTATAGGAGATATACATTATCACAAATTACTAGAGGATCCAGATTATTTATATAACCAGATCTAGCATATGAATCCAGATTATTGGAAAACCAAATACACACCAGTTATGCACAAAATAAGTGAATGCATTGATGAAGACTTGGAGGATTTCATTAAGCAAGACGATAAGAATCAGAATAAATAAGAATAATAATAATAGAAACAAGAGTATTGTTGCATACTAAGAGCAATTTGTTAATATGCAGTAGACTTATTAAAGAGTGTGAATGTGGCTACTCTGTATTATTATTCAGTTAATTATTCATTTCAAAAATTTGTAAACCGTTTGGATGGAGAGGAGGATTTGCAGAGAATATTATATTTGACTTAGAATCATAATAGAGAGAGGAATTACAAATAACATGTGAAAGACTTTTTGAGAGGACGTTCAAATTTCATTAGAGAGATGCGAAATAGGTGTTTGATTGATTAGGGAGAAAGAGAGTTGATAAAAGTAATTTTAAATTTCTGAGTTTTTTATTTATTTATGTTAAAACCACATAAAGTGTTGTTGCATGAGTTTGCTGAACTGATATTGAATCAGAGAGTAGAGTAGAAACCATCAAGTTTGAGACATTCGAATGTACTGAATTTGTGGCAGATCAAGGGAATATGGGTGGATGAGAATTCAGATTTAAGAGTGCAGCTAAATTTCTACATTTAGAAATGGAATACTAGGATTCTAGTTGAAGTTTGGGTCTTAGAAGTAATCATAACAAACGAGTAATAGAACAACACTAAAAAGATAATTTAAGATGAGTGATCAGGAATTTAAGAAGACACAACGACTGGCTCTTTTGCAATCGAGGAGTATTCTAGGAATATTGGCCAATCTCCCCCTCTCTCAAGAAATCCCTTCCTTTAATAAGCATATGAAAATTGCATACAATACTGAAAATAGTACAATCCCAACACATTTCCATACCATCAACTTCCCAGTCATCCCATGTTCAAGTAAAAAGGTCACTTACTTGTATATGCAGGTTCACTACTAAAAGGAAATTATATTCTCTCCACAACCAAAATTAGCACAAAAACCATTCACTCAAAGAGAAGATGCTGAAATGACCACTTTGCATCAAATTCAAAAGAGTTTCAGAAAAAGAACCAAGGCTTCTTCTTAGATAACTGAAACTCTGGAATACTTTATTTGCACTGTGAACTGATAAATTACTATCTATATATTTGTATATAATAATTATTAACTGAATGCACATTGATCCAACTCAGATGGTCAAGATTTCATTCTAAGCTAGCATTGTGATTTTCATTTCTTTAACATTTGCAGCAATTCTATTTGGTTAACCTGAAAAGTTGACAAGAGGCTTCGATCCAGATGGTAATTAGCATTATTATAAAAAGGAATTGCATGTGGTTCTGATTTTGGATCTAGAGATTATCCTTACATTTATTTTGGCAATCCTACTCCCAATACTTTACATTAAACTGTCTGTGTGAAATCATGTCCTAAGCCAGATCATAAAAACGGCAGTACAAATACAAATCATATCTTTTAGTGCCAAAACAGTTAGATTGCATGCCTAACTCTATTATTCAGTAATGTTAAGCTAAGTTCTCTATAGACCATCCAGAAACTTAATTTTTAATATATGATACCTTCCTTTATAAGGGAAACATTTGTATGCCTCGAAATTTAGCTTATTATGAGGCGATCAAAGAAATATCCACACCTCCTTCTAGATTAAGTAATACCAGTGACGTCTACAAGAATAAATGGATGCTCCTTATCTTTATACTCGTTGCAGGCGTTGCATCGAAATAATTACTCACATAACTGAAGGCAAATACTTAATATAGTGTTTGGGGCTTGACATTTGGACTATTCATTTTTGTGGGAACTTTGGGAGTTATTTTTGTTTCTTAAGCCAGAGATGCTATCGCCAATTCAATAGAAACTAATTCCATGTCTGCTTTTTAGGTGGATGAAGAATATATTTTGAAAATGAGTAATGTGCCCAATCCTATTAAAATGGTCATCTTATCTTTAATTTTTGTAATTCTAACATTTTATGGAGCTTATTTCTTATACAACAATTACGATCGAATCAAAGATCTGTCACAATTATTTGAATAGGTTGAAATATATATGGCTGATCATGAATACCTATAAGAAGCATCTTACCCTATGATTTTGGTCCTTAATTTCTTTCTATTCTTAACACTCTATACCATTCTGTATACATTTATCAATATTTCTAATAGATCATTAAGAGCTTGTTTCGTGATTGATTTCTAATAGATCGGACCCTTTGAAAAAATCTAAGGAGGTGTTCTCTATTATTTCCAAATCTTGATAGCGTTTTTCTTCTTTTGGGGAGTCCAAGTGATCTTTGGAATTAACAACTATATGGTGTCGTCATCTCTGGTGCAGTGGATTCAAGTGGGTTACAATCAACACCAAGATGTACAATACAATAGGAATTAAGCTACACTTATTTTAACCAGATACTTTATGCAAGAAGCCTTCTATAACATTGGTAAAATAGCATTTGCTTCATTTCTCTTATTGGTATCTCCAGTTAAATTTGTATGCGATGCTATTAAGGATTGGGCTGTCAGAAGGTAAAATTAGAAGTTTAGAAATTTACTTACTAAATGTTGCTGTCTGCCCTTCATTCAAATATACAAAAAAACCAGACAAATTGAAGAGGTTGTTTACATTGAATAAGCAATCAATAGGAAGTATTGCATAACCGTTAATGTCTGTTTTAAATTCATTGAGGACTACTTGGAATTAAGATTAGAGGATTCAAATGCTGCTGAGCTTTTTGAATAACTAAGTACTTTCATTCATATAAACTTTAGGGAATACTGTAGATTCATTTTTATTGATCATCAAAATATTTATTGCACTACTTTGTGCTATCATTTGTAAGTTTATTTTGAGTTTCAATTACTTTTCAAATCATATGTACGAAACCAACCTCACTTCTTTGATAGCTGCTATCATAGGATATTATGTTGCATCATTATATTTCTAAATCTATTCGATTGTTCTATAAGGTTTGGGTTATATTTATATAAGAACGATGAATATTTGTAAAAAGAACAATGAGAATTATGAAAGGAATTAATAAAAAAGAAGAGATACCGCATTTGAAACATTTAAAAATATTTATAAAGTACCTATGTATATCATAACTTTTTAGGATTTTTCGGAAATTATGATTCACTTTGAAAATAAGATTAGAAATTAGAAAACCAAAGAATAACTTCCTCATTGATAAAATATATGCTTTTACAATTATATATATTATCAATAAATTTTCTATAATAAATCTGCGTATCACTAAAAGTGTAAGCTAATAAATAAGTATCAAGTAAGAATTGGAGTGAGTTAATACCTAAATTATAACTTATTATCTTGAAGAACAAAAACAATTTATTTTTTCAATAAATTATTTGAAATTCTTAGATCTTATAATATATTTAAAGCATTTATATTGAAAATTATTTTATTATTGTTTAGACATACATCATATTGAAAATTAATATAATTAATGAATTCAAAACCGAAAAGTATTTTTGAATGTTTGGATGAACACTTTTAGGAGTTAGATTAAGAAGATGAAGATGAAGAGAATGAAATAATGCAGAATGAAAATATTACAAATTATGATTAGGGTCCAGGATAAAAATAAGATAAGTCTAAACATATAGCGAGACCAAAGGATATAATCAAATGGGAAGATATCAATAAATTAGATGTTTAAGAAGATGATTTGTTTGAAATTTAAGAAGCACCAGAAGAGAGTGTTGTTTCATAAGTCAAAGATAATGAAAATTTTAATTTCGATTATGAAATACCAGTCCTAATGTTGGATGATGACAGTCAAATAAGTCAAGGAAAAAAAATTAAATTAGCTGGTTTAAATAATTACATTAAATCTAAAGAAAAGGAAAGGCAGTAGGTTGAAGAAAATTTTTAAAGAATTGTTTAACAAAAAGCTGAAGAATTAATTCAAGAATAAAAAAAGGAGGAGTTGATGAAAAAGATATAAAAGCAAAGTATTCCTTCTAAATTGCAATAAAAAGTCTAATCACTATTTTAATAAGTCGATTATGAAGCCAATCCAATAAAGATAACTGCTTAATAAAGTATTACTAATTCAACAAATACCCCTTCTTTAACTAAAAAAAAATAAAATGATAATGAACAAGTGAGTAAATTGAAGGAAGAAATACTGAATCTCAAAAACCTAATAAATGACTATAAGTTACGCTACAATCAAGATTAGGATTTAATTAAGACTCTTAGAGTAACTATTCAGAAAGGAGACACAAATTAATCACGTACAAGTTGTTCAACTAAAGCTAGCAAAACAGATGATTTAATAAATGAAAATGAGCAATTGAAATAGGATATGATTACTTTAAAATAGCAACATTAAAAAGAAATTGAGTCATTGAAATAGTAATTATCAAGAGTTTAGAAGATATAAGTAGGATGTCAATAAAGATAATAGAAGGATCAAGTAATACCAGATAAAACTAAAGAAGAAATTACAAAATTATAGGCAGAAAAAGCCTAACAGGGTTCAGATTTCAGAAATAAATTAAATGAAGCAACTCTAAAAATTTAATAAAAGGATTAGGAATTAGAAAAATTAAAAAAACAAATTAAGACTATGTAAGAATAAAAAGAATAACCAGATAAATAATAGATCGTAATTGAAGATTTAAAATAATAAATATAAAAGCTCAATCAACAGATTGAAGAAATAAAATAGAAGTACTTGTTTGATAATTAACTTAAACTATTATTCCCAATATAATAAGATAATGTTTTAGCTGTCCTTAATATCTTTTACAAATTAGAAAACACTAAAAATGCAGTCAATTTTATAAAAACTAAATTGAATACTGGATTTACTTATGTTTACTCAAAAATATACAATGTCTACAAATGGTTTAAATAAATGATTAAATTTAAGTGGACCAAATCAGTTGTGCATCATCCTGATAATTAACAACTTGTAAAAGAAGCTATTTAAAAAATAAGGACTAATCCCACTGTTTTAGAAACTGAAAATTAAAAATTAACAAAAACATTGATCTAGTTAGGCTAAGAGAACAAGGATCTTTAAGAAAAGTTATCCTCATTATAAATATAATACAATTAGAAAATTGAAATCTATGGTTAATTAGATGAATTAGTTAGAGTTGATAAAATATAATTAGCAAATCAATTAATGATGCGTATACTGAAAAAAGAAGCTGAGGATAGAAATAATGAGTAGTAAATAGAATACCCTGAATTATAAATTGTTAAAGTATTCTAATTACAAATATTTAGAAATATGCTGAGTTGATAATGCAATCAACTCTTCCTCAATATCAAAAGTCGTAATCACCTAAACAGGATAAAAACACTAAGGCTGTTGCATCCCTATAAGGAATCAATAATAAATAGGTCTCCATTGCAGTTACAAAATGTGGACACATTGAAAGGCACTAAAAAAGAGATTAAAAGCCTACTAAAGGGTAATATTATAATAAATGAATAATAAACTTTTAATTTAATTATTTTTACATTTAATAATGCAAAATATTATTAAAGATAACATTTTCAACTAATGAAATCAAATAACGCCTAAAAATTTGATTTTAATTAATAGATAAAAGAAAACGCTTATTAACAAATTAGTTACTTCAAATCATAATAAGAAGTTAATTTCGGAAAAATTAATCTTTAGAAACTAGCTTAGAAGAAACAGTTTTCTCTCCCTCCTTATTAGTTTTTAAATTCTAGAAAGCTTTTTCAATAACAGAGTGAAGTGTTATTTAATATTATTTTACTTTTGTTTTTTAATTTCTATAATAATTTGAAATGCATATCATAAAATAATTCAATATTTGAAAGAAAGAAAGAAAGAAAAAAAAAGTAAAATGAAATTTTAAACATGAGGTTAGGATTATTTAACCTTGTTCCATGTTGAATTTATTTTTAACAATGTTAAATAACAATGTAAATAGAATAATGGTGTGAAATAGTTAATTTTAATATTTGCCAATAAATCAACTACTTTTATGATTGAATGATTTGTAATTAGAATTCTGAAGAAATTATTTTAGAATTTCATATTTATCCTGCTTTGAATTTTCGTTCTGATTATATACGGTTGTTTATTCTAAAAAAGATATGAGTAAAACTACCCTTATGCATATGATAATTTTTATTTTCAGGATTTTTCTATATTGCAATATCATATTATGCTTATGCTTCAGTAATACGATTTAATTTGATTAGCGTATTTGCTATTTCAAATATATTAATACCTTTATAAAAATATAGATCAGAACAACTAGGATTTATTAAAATTGCCTAATCATAATATTTTAAAGCTTCTTCCAAAAGATCCATTTAGTGTAATGTAAATGCTAATCAAGTATTCCTTTTTTATTTACCTTTATTAAAATAAAATTGATAGCACTCAGGATATTTCTAAATAGCTATATCAAAACTTTCTAATGATTGTTCAAAAAGTTTCATTTTAGCTAGAGCAATTGCTAATAAATATGAAATTGATTATGCCTTTATTGTTGTAAAATTTTGCATTATTTGAATCCCTTTAAATAGCAAGATCAAAAAATTCTAATGCTTCTTAAAACCTTTGCATTTCTATTAAAGTAGTAGCTTTTTATGAATTTAGGTTAAACGTACCTTTATTTTCATAATATTCTGAATTTTCAGGATTCTTCTTTATAGCTAAATCATAAAATTTTAATGCTTCCTCATTTCGATTCTGTTTGGATAAAGTATTAGCTATTCTTAAATAAATAAAATAACCTTTATTATGATAGTACTCTGGATTTTCAGGATTTTTCTATATGGCTAAGTCATAATATTATAAAGCTTCTTTAATTTTATTTTAATAGACTAAAACATTTGCTATTAGATTATATATTAGATTATACCCTTATTATGATAAAGCTCTGAGAATTCAGCATCAATACCTATGGCTAAATCAAACTATTATAAGGCTTCTTAATATTAATCTAATTTGCTTAGCGCAATTCCTTTTTGATAATATATTTGGCAATACCTTTTTTGTTATAAAAGTCAGCATTTTTTTAGTTTCTCTCAATTGCATAATTATAATATTTTAATGCTTCATTTAAAGAATTCATATCTTCTAAAGTCATAGCTATCAATAAATATCAAATATTTACCTTTATTATAATAAAATGTAGCATTTTCTGGATATCTCTAAATCGCATAATTATAATACTCCAAAGCCTCTTCAAAACGATGCAATTTAATTAAAGTATTTGCTGCAAAAATATATTACATATATGACAAAACCTTTCTGATTATAAAATAATGGATTTTCTGGGTTTTTTTAAATAGCAATTTCAATTTATTCTAAGGCTTCTGAAAAACGTTACAATTTTTTTAAAACAATAGCTATTATTATTACTATATATAAACATTTATTATAGTAATTTTCTGGACTTTGAGTATTTATTTTAATAGCATAATCATAATATTCTAATGCTTCTTAATACCGATTCAATTTAAAATTAAAGCACTTGCTTACATATGTATATTTATTTTTTAATACCTTTGTTACTGAAAAATTCCGAATTTTCTGGGGCTTTTTTTATCGCTTTTTCAAAATATATTATTGCCTCATCAATTCTATTTAGATCTTCTAGAGCAAAAGCTATTAAATAATATATAAATATAATTGATGCCTTTTTCGTTATAATGATCAGGATTATCAGAGTTAATTTAAATAGCAATATCAATCTATTCCAAAGCTTCTTCTTAACGGTTCAAGGCGATTAAAGTAATTGCTTTTAAATAATTTTGAGTGACAATTTATACCTTTCTATGAATAATAATCAGACATTGTAGGATTTTTTGAAATAGCTAAATCACAATTCTGTAATGTTTCTTCAAACCGATTCAATTTAAATAAAGCCATAGCTGCTCATTAAGTCTTTCATTTTACCTTTACAATAATATAAATCGGGATGTTAAGGATTTATTTTGATAGCTAAATCAAAATGCTCTAATGCTTTTTCAAGTTGGTTTAAATGGGCTAAATACTTGCTATACAATTTTCAACTTTTTTTACCTTTAATGTAATAATGGTCATAAAATTCAGGGTTTTTTTAAATAGAATAATCACAATTTTCTAATGCCTCTTCATAACGGTTCATTTGACATAAAGTGAAAGCTAAAATATTGTTTTTCATTACCTTTGTAATAATACTACTCCGAGTTTTCAGGATTTTTTTCAATTCCTTAATCATAATATTCTAATGCTTCTTAATAACGATTCAATAAATGTAATGCAAATCCTATTCAATTATATTTTGATTCTTACCTTTTTATCTATAATTATCACCATTTTATGGATTTTTTTAAATAGCGCATTCAGACTGTTCTAATGATTCCTCAAACCTATTCATTTTTTGTAAAGTGTTTGCTACCGAATTTATAGCTTATTACCTTAAACTTTAAAATATATTTCTTTCTCTGGATTTCTCTAAATAGCAGCAACCACATTTTTTAATGCCTATTCATACTCTTTGCATTCAAATAAAGTATTTGCTTATTAATTTATAACTGTTATACCTTTATTATTATAATATTCTGAATTTTCGGGATCAATTGAAAGAGCTTTGTCATAATGATTTTATGCTTCTTCAAATCTTTTTAATTAGGCTAAGGTGTTTGCTGTAGAAGAATGACTGAATCAATTCATACCTTTATTGTTATAATAATCCGCATATTTTGGATTTATTTTTATTGCTTAATCATAACATTTTAATGCTTCGTCTAAACGATTCAATTCATGTAGAACACTTGCTGTTCAATAATAATGGATTTATTATACCTTTATTATTGTAATAATCTGCATTATTATGATCTTTCGAAATTGCCAAATCATAATATTCTAATGCCTCCCATAGACGACTCATTTCATGTAGAGTAATTGCTTATGCTTTATGATTTTTTTATACCTTTGTTATAATAGTATCCAGCATTTTACGGATTTTTTTTTATAGCATAATCAAAAAATGTTAACGCCTCATGAGGCCTATCTAAGTCAATTAATGTGTTTGCTTAAATTAAAAAATTGTAATTTCACCTTTGTTGTTGTAATAATCTGGATTTTCAGGATCTTTTTGGATAGCATAATTGTTATATTTTAGTGCTTCATGAAAACGATTTACTTTTTTTAAGGCAATTGCTACATAATATGTTATCTTAATTTATACATTTTTCATTGTAATAAGTTGAGTTAGTAGGATCTCTCTGAATGGCTTTATCATAATATTGTAATGCTTCTTCAAATCGATTAGAATCAAATAAAATGTTAGCTTTTAATTATAAATTTAATTAAACCTTTATTGTAATAATAATCTGGAGGATGAAGATCATTCTTACTTGCATCAGCATTTTTACTCTATTATACTGCCTTCACTTGATTAATTTAGGCTGATTATTTTTAAGTGATATTTTGCACTATCTAATTTGTTTATAATTCGTTGATTGTATTTAAACTCAGTTAATTTAATACATTCAATTAACTCTACTTTTTCTATTTATCATTAAGATTCTTTAATTCCTCTAATTTTTATTTTCCATTTGTAGTTTATTAAATTTTACCCAGTTCTAGTTAGATAAACTTTAATCAATTTACAAATCAACTTCCTCAACTTATTAATATTTGTGCAAATTTTTCTCTTTGTGAAAATTTGAATCCCTGTTTGCTTGTATACCTTTTATTGTAATGAAAATGCTCCCATATCTATATATTAGAATAGTATTAAACCTTTCATTATCTATTATATAGGTATTTCTTTAAACATATGATATGTCCTAATTAAATTAAGATTGGTTATGGAGAATTTAAATAATTAAGTTTTCTAATATCCATTTGCATTCAGCTTGCATTATAAATCTTTTTAAATCAATTATATCATTTTTTTTATTATAATTATAATATTTTAAATAGGCAATATTGTAATGTGATCATTTTTTGTATCTTTTCTCATAATTCTAGGTGAT